GTGCCCACCTCACCCCAAATTTTGGTATCAGCAGCAAATTTGAACAGGTTACTTTTCACCCCATCATCCAAATCGCTGATAAAGAAATTGAACAGCGCGGGCCCAAGGACCGAGCCCTGGGGGACTCCGCTGCCCACTTCCCCCCAGGTCGAATATGACCCGTCCACCACCACCCTCTGAGTATGACCCTTCAGCCAATTAGCAATCCATCTGACCGTGTAGGCATCAATGCCACAGTCGCCTACTTTTTTTTAATGAGGATGGGGTGGTTGACAGTGTCAAAGGTCTTCCTGAGTCCAGAAAGACTACATCCACAGCGACACCTGCATCCAATGCTTTTGTGACCTGATCATAAAAGGCAATCAGGTTGGTCTGACATGACCTGTCCCTAATGAAACCATGCTGGTTGCCCTTGAGCATCATCCCCGATGCCGACCCATCACAGATGTGCTCCTTGATGATCTTCTCAAAGAGTTTCCCCAGGATTGAGGTAAGACTGATGGCCTATAGTTGCCTGGGTCCTCCCTCCTCCCTTTCTTAAAGATGGAGACCACATTGGCTATTTTCCAATCATCTGGCACCTGGCCAGAGCACCACGAGCGCTCGTAAAGCCGTGCCAAGGGCCCAGCAATAACCCCTGCTAGTTCCCTCAACACCCTGGGGTGGACAGCATCTGGACCTGCTGATTTGAACACGTCCAGCCCCTCCAGAAGCACTCTAACCTGGTCCTCCTCAACCTTAGGTCTGATACCACTTTAACATTGGAGGACTTGGAGCAGGAAAATCCAGCTGCATTTAAATCTCAAGACCAGTTGATCCTTAAGGCAGAGATGGAAAACTTTTATGTAGCCAGCCTCTGCAAGGGCAGACCATTGTTAGCCCATTGCCTGGGGCTTTTTGTGGGACGCACATATGGACATTGATTAGGCTGTAACTATGCAAACTAACTGCACATGGACGGCAATTGTATGTGTTGCTCAGTCTCCTGCTATGTTCTTTGAAGGGAGGCAGAGGGAGAAACTGAAGGATTTGCAGGGAGAACCTTTGCCATTTCTGAGCCATAATTGCTCACTGTGTGCTTTCAGAAGATTCGGGTTGTGGGGAAGCATGGTGGGCAGGAGGAATTTACCCTTGGTGTTGGCACTGTGTACTGAAGCCTTTATATCACATACTGCTTGCTGCTTGCCCTGGAGCTGAAATTCCAACCCTGCACTCAGACAGACAAATAGATGTCTGGGCTGATGCTAACCTGCACTTAAAACCTTCCAGTCGCAGAGAATCCGCATCCTCATTAGATAACGTGTTTCAGTACTTAACCACTGGCTCTGAGGGTAGTTAGCACCAGAACCCATGATTGCAGCTGGCCGTGCAATCTCTGTGATTGCCTAACCTGCACTTTACAACTTCCAAACACTTGACCGGGATGGTTTATACAGGGGGATGAACTAGATCCACGGTGCCTAGACTTTTTGCCCCGCAGGCCAGATGAGAGGTGCCAGCCAGGTTAGTCTGTGGGCCTGAGCCAACTGTGTGGGACCTGGAAATTCGGCAGCAGGGGAATAGCAGCAGGTTGAGCACCCCTGAACTAGAGGACCTGACGAGGCCCCTTTCAGCCCTATTTTTTAAAGGTCCAACTTCATGTGCCCACAAGACTAGCACTCACCTTTATCTTAAGCCACAAATGAAACACATTTAGTGACCTCAGGTTAATAACTGGGAGACCTGGTTGAAAAATCTTCTGACTAGATGTTATTTGTCAAACAGGAAAACCTTTTCACAGATTAAACTTTCTGTGGGGACGGGGTGATTTCAACGCAGTTTCGTTTTAAAAGAAGTTAAGCACAGCGATTGGATGAGGCGATGCTCTGAACAGAGGGCCTTGATTTTTCAGCTCAACAATATTTTATAGAAGTGATGGCATTGGCATAACCTATTTCAATTCCATAGAATCTATTTTCCAATTAACCCCAAATAAAATGATTTCTTGGTGAGCTTCATTGTGAGAATTTTTTCCAAATCAGAATGAAAACAAAGTTGGAAACATTAAAAGTTCCTGCAGAAAATAAATACCAAGTTTTGAACTAGCTCTACTACTGTTTGTCCCTGTAAAACAGAAGCCACATGAGTTGCTTGAGACTGGTCAAAGAGGCAGGCAGTGCTGCACAAATGGTAGCAGAGCTGTATGGAGCATCAGGACCGAACCAACAAAAGATGCTGCAGGCCAGAACTGGGGAGTGTTGGGAGTGGTCTGTGTAAGGACAGCATGGACGTTATGCTTTAATGCTCTACTCAAACCATGACTCCCCTTTCTCCGCTTTCAGTAAGTGCAAAACCAAGCTCACCTCTACCTCAAGAAAACCCCCGTTAAAGTGATATGTGACCAGCAGTGCGCATGGAGGTGGTAAACACCACTCAGGCACTGGACAACCCCGACAACTGACAGATGAACGTACTGTGATCACTGGCACAGGAACAGTCAGATCCTAACACTGAATCAAGACAGCCAGGTGTGCTTACAATGAAAACCCCCTTTCATCTTGTATACACAGATTCTCACGGATGGGGAACGCCTTACTTTAATCCCTTTGGTAACATGATGTTTTCCCAGTGCCCTGTATGGTCCTCTCCACACATCCCAGTATGCTGTTCAGATCAGTCCCCTCATCATGGATCTATCCTGCAATGGGAGCTGAGGGAGCTCGTCACCCAGAAGCATCTGATCTTGCAGAACTGCTGCACCCTTTGTTCCCCTGGGGGTTAAGAGCCAGTGTAGTTGTGGTCCACTCGCTATAGGCTTGAGGAAATAGTGTCTCTCTCACTTCCTCCCTCAGTTCTTGTGGTGTCACTCACAATACACTGTGCTGAGCTTCCTCCTTTCAGCTGCTTGCCTATTCACTCAGCTTTCTTTCTGACTTTTTAACCCCACACTCCTGGGTAAAAATACAGTCCATGCAAAGGGGAGCTTATTAATACAATATAGCATGGAAACCAAGCTGTTTTAGCCTCCCTGTTACAAACTCCCGATATTTGGTGTTTCTAAAAGTCTCAGCTCCTGCAGCTATGTCATAATGAAGAAAGCTGTCATTAAAAAAAAAAAATGCCTAGCACACATTTTTGGGGCAGAAAACTTTAAAATATGAACCCCAAAAAAGCACCAACATTGCAGGGCTGATCCAAAGAAACCGACACCTATTATTTGAAGATGCACAAACTAGAGGGAGCCTTGACTCATGAGTTTTGGCCACTGAGCATTTAGAGTAGTATAGCCAACTTAACGCTGACCTGGAGCTGCAAGTATAGGCCACTGGGGAGCAGCTAGGATAAAAGGCAGAGAGGAGCCTGCTTTCCCGAATGAGCTTGGGGGTGCTCCTCTGTCTGCTTTCCTGGGGAGTATCTTTATTTCACTGCCACTGTGGCCCTTCTTGCATGACTTGCGTGCAGGAAGGGCTAGGAGGAAGCTGTGGCTTACACACACACTGGTGTGCATATATCACGCAGTGAGCTAACAAGAGAACAGACCCTGGGGGACAGCGTGAATCATCTCTAGAGATAGCACTTGTAATTTTCCTACCTTTCTGCAGCTGGTGTCAGCTGCTACTGTCTGGATAGTGATCTGCAAGCTCCTAATGAGAATCACAAACAGTGCTCTAGGGGAGAGGTAAGGAGACGGCCTGGCTATAACTGGAGAGAGAGAGACCCCTCCAGAGCAGCTCATTATCTGCCTGAAAAGGGATCTCTGATCAGAGTGTTTTGTTAGTCTTGGGGGAAGGGAAGGCACTTGCCCAATTTACAACCTTCCTCCCTGCTTTTCATTAGAAACCTGACATGCAACATGCCTTAGGCAGCTGAGCTCAAATAAAAGACTTAAAGCCAGTCACTCAGAACAGGCTAACCTAGTTGCCCTACAGAAAGCATTGCTCTCAAGAAGAAATGGGGGAGTAAATCCCAGTTGGGACTGAAAAAGCAGATGCAAATCTTTCAACATAAAGACTCACAAGAAAAATTCAAGTGGGAAGGAGCTGGGTTCAAGTAGGGGGCTGGGTGTCAGGAGTCTCAGTCTGTCACAGGACATACGTGGTGCTGGTATTATGAACAACATAGATCCAATTTTGTAAGTGTTGTATGTAGTTGGGTTAGCAAGGGGAAGTTATTGTAGATGGGTCTTTGCATTTCCTG